AAAAAGCAAATCAAAATTGTCTACAGAATGTCCAGGACTATCTAAATATACATCTCCATCTCACTACATTAAGATCCCCAACACTCTTAACTGAGAGTGCACCTCCCCCCCCCCCCCCCGATTGTTGTGCAATGCTAGATATCAAAGGTGGGATAAGATAGACCTGATTTGCCTCTGTGACAGAAATAGTAATCCAGGAATTCATACCATATATTAGCTTGCTAATAAAATTTCTTTTTTTTAAAATACAAAATTCAACAAGGTAACACCAAAAACACTCAAAGTATCTCTGAATGATCATAGCACTGAGAAACCTGTTAGTGACGCTTTGTCGAAAAAAGTGATGAAATTATCTGAATGAGATGCTTATACACAGTACCAGGATAGAGGGCATATTGACATAGGTGGAGAGCGTTAGGAGACAAATATCTCCAAGGGCAATTAATTGGGGTATAAAAGACTGGAGCAAGCAAGAAAAAATTAGACCAAGAAACCCTGGCAGTCGAGTACCAGGTGTAGTGTGAGAAAAGGTAGGTACATTTTGGAATTGTTACATAACCAAAAAAAATATAACTTACTAATGCTTCTGTTAGTATGTCAGCACGATGATCAGAAGAAAACTTCATGGTATCATTTTTCTTTCCCCTCTTCATAGTGATGATAAATTCATTGCTTGTTTGCCCTTTTAGGTTAGGTGCAATGCTGACAAACTCAGCATAGGGCCACTATTTACAAAGAAACAAATTTACTCATGTTAAACTTGGTTAACTACACATGAATATTGGTTTCTCATACCTGAATTTTAATTACGTTAGAATGGATTTCAACTTGTTATATCTGCATACACAGTAAACTTAACTCCTTCACAGTTTTCAGCTTTAGGTCTTTTTCTGCCTCTACCACTCATTCTGTAGTGATGTTATCTAAAACTCTCATATTATCATCCACTGTTCTACAGTTCACTCTACCAACAATCAACCTCTAAACATTTTCAAAATTTTAGATAGCTTACCTACTTTCTCAGATCAACTGTCGGAGCCATTTAGTCTGAAGCAAACCAACAGTCTCAGAGTCACATTTCTGAAACTTTGCCTTTGTATTTCTTCATTAGTCATTTGTATATATTGGTCATTTATTTTGTTTTTACATTGCTAGTCAGTTACAGATATTTTACTAAATTCGTGTATCAATTTGCAAATGTGAAGGTTTGCTAATTTTTCTTATGACAATTCATTGCTGCTATTTCTCAGCATTTCAAATGAACACATTATCAAGTAAGCTAATGGAAGTGATGATAATAAATATATAAACTTACGGTAAATTAGTATTCAAGACATAACTGGAGCTGTTGAAGTTAAAAGAAAAAAAGTCTAAAAGAATATGCAGTACAAAGCAACTGAAATTTAAGTAAATAGAAAAAAGCTCTATTAATGTACCAGAAAAATTAGAAATTTCCAAAATATGAGCCAATTTCATATAATTTCTAATTTAATTCAAACTGCAGCTTTAATTTACTTGAAGGGCATCCATCTTCAGGCAATGAAACAGGTGGTTTGACCCTAAATTAAATGATAGACACCATAATCCATTTGAAAGTATAGTACATAAAACATCCATGAATAAATGTTGAAAACAATCTTTGAGAAAGTACTTGTTTCATTTCGATAACTTCTACATGCTTATATCAGACAATACCTCTTGAAAAATAAAAACATTCAAGCAGTGGATAAATCATGCACCACATACTGTTCATTTTCTTCTTTTTTTGTATTCAGATTTCTTACTATTATTTATTACAGATTACATCATGTATTTCTGTACCTGTAGCTTAATGAAGTTGTAAATCTGAAGTTTCTGAAATGTCTAGTAAATGCTTCATGTAATTACATTAGTTTTTCTTTTTCATTAAATTACATTTTCTGAAAAAATGAATCAATTATTAGAAATCAACATGTTTTGAAAAAGATTATATTCATCAGATGTGAAATGTGCGACAATAAGGGTAGCATCTGTAACAAACAAACATTAAGAAGTTAACCATACAGTGTCCAAACAACAATTAAAGATCATGAGCACAAAACAGCCACAGATAGGTTCATATATTAGCTGACATCATTACAATCAACAGTTATTTCTTACTCTGTATAACAAGGCAGTTCAGCATTGCAGTAGTAGAGCCAAATCTAATGAACTGTAACAAGAAATGGCTTTAGAATCGAGATGTTTTAAGTTTTTTGTAATATCATTCAAGTGATTACAACACATTAAAAAAATTACTATGTACAAGTTTTATTCTGAATGAATTTGCCATGAACTTTGGTTTTTGTATTTAAAGAGACAAACTTGAGTCAAATAATATATTTTAAACTCACCTGGTTAGTAATTTCCATGGTACCTGGGTTATAAGTGCTTATCCCTAGTGTTCCAACAGAAAATATTCTTTTATACCTAGAATGTAATACATTAAGTATACAATAGTATAAATGTACTTGTATATACATATATCTATTCATAGACACACCCATCTATATATATATATTGTTGAATGTTGTTTCACTTATAATGCATTTAAATACAAAATACCTCTGAACTGAAACAGGCTATCCAATCAAAGAGTCTACAATATTAGAGTTCTGGAACAAATATAATATTATCCTGAAACTGAAAAAAGGAATTAAACAAGGTCCTCAGCATATTACTGGCCAAGTTAATTAATTGTCAGTTATATACTTGCACAAAAATACCTTCAATATCTATCATCTACTGAAGAAATTAACAACCACTTTAACCAATAATGTGATGTTTACCGAAGGCACAAGTTTTTTCTCTTAATAATCATAATAAATTTTTAATATTTTTGTGTAAAAAATTTTATAATCTGTATATGACACATTTCAGCTTTATCCAAATTCATTTCATCCAGATGTTGTCTAAGTTAAGTTAGCTTTCATAAAAAGTATTTTGTCATTAACACACATCCAGATACAGAGATTGCTTTATGTTTGCATGTTTTGAGTGTTTCACCCTTGTTTGTTGACCTAAACCTTCTGTTTACCCACTTTTCTTTGCCAGATATGTTGGACTTGCCTATAACATTTCTTTCTACACTAAAATACCTACTGACAGTATCATGGCTTGCACTTAGATTTGCTTTCTTATATAAATAAACATTGTCTTAATGATGCTGTTATTTCTTTGCATCTTTGCTTTGGAGCACAAGATCAAACAAGATGATAACATTAATTTTGAGCTTGTTAAGAAAAAATTGGGAAGTTTAAAGAATGATAAGGCTCCTGGGTCAGCTAATATTTACCCAAGTGTTTTGAAGGAGGTTAAGGATTGGATACATGATTCACTTGCTACAATTTTTTTGTAAGTCCTTGAATAGTGGGCAAGTGCCAAAGGATTAGAAGTTAGCTAATGTCAGTCCTCTTTTCAAGAGAAGTGATAAAAGTTGTCCCAGTAATTATAAGCCTGTTAGTCAACTGTGGGAAAAGTCTGATAAAGTCATTTAACAAAGTTTAAAATTTTATTGGATAGTCAACACAGTTTCACAAAGGGAAAATCTTGCATTATAAATCTTTTGACTTTCTTTGAAAAGATTACTGCTTCTGTAGAAGAGGATAAAGGTGTAGATTTAATGTATCTGGATTTTCAGAAAGCATCTGACAAAGTGCCACATAAAAGGCTTGTAAAAAACAAGATTATCTCTATATGTATGGGGGATATGTTAGCTAATTAGATAGAAGAGTGGGTGGATGGAAGAAAGCACAGGGTTGTTATAAACGGAAACCAGTCAAACTGGATTAATGCAACATGTCTGACTAATAAATATGCTATACAAGTTGTAAATCTCTCAGCGAAGGTATAGATCACAATACCATATTGAATGATGTAATGCATAAGCTGCTCGCAAGCATACTTCATGAAGAATTTTTATTATTATTTTTTCATTATTTTACCTAATCTAACCTAATAAGTTTCTTATTTTTACATTTTAATTACTTTTACAATAGATAAAAAATATACATGATAAACAAAAAATATAGTACTTACCTTTGACCTCATTTTTTTGTTGTCAGCTGCTGAAGAAATTTAAGCCTACTTTTTAATAAATGATAGTACTAGTTCACTACATTTTTATTTAAATAATGCACCTAAGAACATGAAACAAAAACACACACACACACAAAACAAACAATGTACTAAAAGTATTATAATTCAACTGTTTTTTCTAACTAAGACAAGAGGGGCTTAAAATAATTTCCTTAGCTACCTGAACTGGGCACCGTGAAATAAACTGAAGACAAAACTAACAATACTCCATACTGAAAACATCATAGCATTTTACATCATTTGATAGATTAAAACTTTGCCTTTCTATTGGTTACAAATGATACAAAAAATCAGACAGAATTATTGGCAATTTGTGAAAGAGAGTATTTGACAGGTGGGCATGGTAAGCAAGTTTAATTTTCTAGTTTATGACTCCATGAACAAACAAGATAGAAGGCTTTTAAAATTAAACTTGTCTTAGCAATATCTATATTATAATGAATAATTTACATTAATTTCCATAATTCAGAGAGGGATGGTAAATAAATTAGAGAGGGGGAAGACCTAGAGAACAAATGTCATGATTCTCATACTAGGGGAGATTGAAGATTTATTTAAATATTTCATTACAAGACTAAGAACTTGAAACTTAAATAATGGTAAAATATGTTTTATTAACTATGTTTCAATGTCAAATTTATTCATATACATTGATAATAAAGTAGTTTAATAAAATTTTGAATGTAACCCTGTAAAAGGTCATGACATGAGCACTTTAACATAGTCATAGCAATAGGGTTAATGATTTTACTATAATGTTTTTTATTGCAATAGCTTGAGCATTCTTCACATTAAAACTAAATTATTAACATATTTTTTACACAATTAGATACTCAGTTTGAAATAAAAAATCTGATTTTACATCAACATCATCACAATTTTTTCCATTAAGGGATCCATGTCTTTTTTTATGATACCTCAAAGATGAAAAGTATAAAAGAAGGAGCAGTGAACAAATTCATTAAATGAATCACTTTTTCATTCTAAACAGATAAAAATAAATAGTTTTCCAACAGATTTTGGAGAAGTATAGATCCAATAAAAAAAAACAGTGCATAAAAGATTTTTAAGCATCTCTCACATATTCATTACTATCATTAGTCACTTAAATCTAAGCTAACATGACTAAATATTTATCATTTCACATCTACTATAATATTTGAGAGGCAACAAGGAGCCTCTTGGCCAATTGTCTCCCATTTATTTAAACACCCATCTGCCTATATCTGGCCCCGACTCCACAGGTACTCATCAAGCCTTCTCATGTTGCATCTACCATGTTAGAAGGTAATCTATTCCAAAGGTTGACCACTCTGTTGAAAAAATAAAACTGCCTAATTTCCAAGTGACTTCTACCTTGCCAAATCTTAAATATATGTCCCAAAAATATGATGTACCAATCCTGTCTATTCTATTGATAATTTTGAACACTTCTATCACTTTCCCTCTAACACTTCTTTTCTCAAGAGAAAAATCATTTTAAGGACTTTTAACATGTCCTAATGTCTCATCCCCTCCATCTCAGGAGTCATCCTAACAAACCCCCTCCCCCTTTGAACCCTTTCTAACAATTTATTATTATTATTACTGCTTGTTTGGGAAATTTTGTCATTAAACATATCATGTAAAAATATGTTTAAGTATAAATTTCATCAGAATGAATACCATAGGAATTATCATAGCATAGTATAATCATCTCTGGTGCAAGTTGTTTACTTACAATTTAAGCAAAGTGAAATTACCTTGTATAGCAATGTATCACCAATTTGGAATGTAAACATTTGGATTACTTTACATACACACATTATTTTTGACTTATTCTCTTATATAATTTCAAAGAAGAAAATATAAAATACATTAATCATTACACTGTTCTGTACATAAATCTTATATATATTGTGAACTGTGATGTCTATCTGAGTATTCATCTGTCTCCCATTTGAAATAATGCACAAACAGGCAAAGCTCAACATTCACTATTGAAATGCAGGAGAACAGGCATGAATAAATTTATTTTGCAAGCAGGATATTCTACACTAAATTGTAAAGAATTATTTACACTCTCATTGACATCTCAAAATGTAAGGTAAATTAAAGAATAAAAATGTAGATTTACCATTTGTTATTGTTCAGTGGCTCTTAGCATGGCTGAAATGCTCAAGAATCACTTTTCCAGGTGGGCGGTATAACTAGCTCAGAGCTTTGGCTCTGAGTGAAACCAAGAGTGCAACACAATTAACATATTTTAAAGTCCATGAAATAGTTTAAATTGATAGATTAACTTAAACTTTTCCCACCCCTGGGGACAGGTACTTTTGCTTGTGTAGTACACATTGGATGTTTTCATTCACTAATGAATTTATTGCTATATCACCACATAATTAGATAGAAACCAAAGAAATCTTACAAACTTACTTGCCCTTCCATGAATGCTTTGTAACAAAATAACATGCCACATCTTTGTTTTCAGACAAAAAAGACATGATTGTTTTTCAAACTACCTGCAAATAAAAAACAAACACATTTCTAAGGCTAACTGTTTAACCAAATATTAACAATTTTAGGGTCAGTTCATTTGTATAAATAAGATAAAGTATATGTATTTCTAATTTCTAATAAAAATTTTTATTTATTTTCAAACTTTCCAGAAATCTCTATTACATTAATGGTCTTACAGTACAGAGGATTATTTTTACAGAACAAAATGACATTTGCTCTAAACTAGAAATAACTTATTTCTCAGAAATGAATAACAGCGAAAGCACATGGATAAAAATATTACCAGTTCAATACAGGTACTTCTTAACCTTACTAAAACTTATAAGCCATTAAAGAAAAAAGGGCTGCATCTTAAGATTTTCAGAAGCCATTAATGAAAAATGGCACACACTGGTAATGACTGCTCACAACTAAAGATGTACATATACATGTAACACTAATATGAAAGCTGACAGTTGAAGAGGATGTTCATATTGTAGCCGTACATTTACTTCCTCATTTTTGGATTTGAATTCTTAATAGCTTCCCCTAGCAAGGACATAAACAATGCTATTTATAGATCTTGTTTTAATGTGTGTTATGTGCATGTACTATTTTCATACTTCTTTAATTAAGCCATGTAGGCTCAGTTAACCCTAAGTTAAAGACTCTACCTACATGTATGTTACAAAATATTCTATGATGATTCTTCCTAGCTTGAAAAAACCACCAATACAACAATGAATGCACTTATTTTTCAAAGATTAAATGTTCTTAAATTTTACAAAAATAGTTATAACTACTTTTAACTTACAGAAGAAAATGAATATTTAACTTAAAAACACAAAAACAGCAAGATGATTGGCCACTCATGATGAGCAGATGAGTAATGCAAAAGACATCTGTAAAACAACTTACAACTTAACCATGGATGCACTGGGGTAGCAGCATGTCCAAAATCTAGGTGCATGCATATAATTAGCCAATAAAATTGTAAAATAAAACTAACTGCATAAACCATATCAATAGACAAATCATTCCACAAGTTCATAACATTAAATTTAAGGGCAACATAGGACTTGTTGGTCATTATACATTCACTAAACTAAACATTTAGAAAAGAAAAACACACACAATCATCCTTTATCAAGCTTTCACTTAAACTCCCTTAAATAAACTGCATCCATGACATGTGAAGGCAACACATGCTATTAGAAAAATAAAAAAGTTGTCCCCTAGTCACACTATTAAGTACAAAAAATTCTCCTGAACAATTTTCAACACCTCAATTTGATCCTCCCTAACTCCTCTTTTTTTTTAGACCAAAATACATCTTAGTTACTAAGCTTGATAAATTATAGTGGAATTCTATGGTATTAATGTAGTACTTTAAGATTTTTTAGTTATTCAAATGTATATAAAAACTAAAAAAATATTTTGTTTCATATCCTACACGTGCAAATCTTTTAAAGGCTTAGCAACCTATGCCAAGCAGCAACTGAGTACGAAGATTGTAACTAGAAGAGATAATTGTTTGCTTTACTTCTTTAGTTACTGTTCTATGTTTTAAGAAAAATAAGTTTAAGAACTTATTTCAAAATAGCAATAATCTGAATACATATATAATGTACAATGATTGAAATGTGACTGTATTTTACAAAATACTAAGGTCTGTTTTATGCTATCTGAAACGGTAACATGAGTGCACGTGAGCCGTGTCATTCTAACATATGTATTGTTAGCCAGGCATGGCTGAAAGGTCAATATAATAAAAATGATAAATATATATATAAATGTATAATGTTATGAGATTTAAGCTATTTAGTCTAAACATTTATATTTTCGTGTTATAATCTATGTTCATTCTAGAATAAAAAAAAGGCATAATTTATATTTATTTCCTAATTTTTTTATGGTGGTTGCGAGATCGGTCAAATCTACCAAACCATTCAGAGATTAATTACTGAAAATAACAAATAAAATATAGTTTTTTCTTAAGAAACATTCGATAATTATCTGGACATTATAAAGATTTCGCATGTGAAATTTCAAAATTTTCTGATGCATAAAAGTATTTTAAATCTTAAAATGAAAATTACTTTGCATGACAGATACGTAATGTGTGAAAAGAAAAAAAGATATAAGAAAAACATTGCTTTACAAACCTTAAGACTTAATAAAAAATTTGATATTTTGCATATGAAAGCATTTTAATGTTTATTGATAATCTGCCAAATTTTGTTAACATTCACTTACTAATTTAAAAGTTTTATCATGAAAACTATAACATGCACAAAATGGTTACGAGGTCAATCCCAGTGACCGAACCCGTGCTGAAAGAGTTAAGAGACTGATAAACCAGAACACCAAGATCCTTTTATTCCACAACACCATTAAGGTTATTCCCATCAAAATTATACTTATCAATTACATTACGATAACCTACATGCATTATCTTTATAATGATTTACAGAAAAAAAAAGATATTTAAGAAAAAGCCTGCAACAAAGCTTAACTTCAACCTTTTCATTGTATGACTCCAACATTCTATAGGAAGGGTATACAAGCCCCTACCTATTTTTAACATCTGAATAGAATCTCTACAAATTCTTAGTGCTCCAGGGGAAACTAGTCATACAATAGCTTACATTATTTAAACCAGTTATTATATTAGCAGTCCATTTCTGCACTCTTTCTAACAGACTGACTCCTTCCTGTGATGAGAAAATCATAAATTCATATAGAGCCCCAAATGAGGCAATAACTTCTCCTTAAATTTCAAACTCTTATAGTTAGAATCAAAGGCCCTATTTGCTCTTTTTGCTATCAATAAACATTCAACATCAACAATACCTGGATCTTTCTCTTCTTCCACAAAAACAATGTGTTTCTCACATAAGAAACACTTCCTCTTAGGATTCGTATAAACTAAGTTCATAATTCTAGATTTTTGAATAACAAAAACTTATCTTCCACATTCTGCATTATTTAATAGAGCTATTAAGTTCCTTTTGGATAAGATGCATTCCCAACAGATTCAGCTTTTCTCCAAAATTTCAATATCATCCGCAAACTTAAAAATAACACCATCTGAAAAGCTGCCAAGCAAGTCATTAACATAAATTTTGTAAGGAATAAAAACAATCCTATCAGATCTCCGATAGAACTTCATTATTGACATTCTTCCAGTCAGAAAAATGACCATTACCACTGTTACAATTTGTTCTCAATTTTCTGTCCAATTCTTGCCTTTCTTAACAGTTCCATCTGACTGATTAAGAAAAGGCTTACTGAAAGTTAGCTATGAAACATCAACTTGGCTACCCTTCTCTAAACAATAGATGACATTTCAAAAGAATCCAAAAATGAAAAAAAAACTGTGCTAAAAATCATTAATTAAATGCCATATTTACAGACATTTTCCTAAATGACTTATGGAACAAAATTTTAACACCATGCCAACAACAGAAGTCAAAACAAAAGGCTTAGAAATGTAATTTCCAAAATCCTCTCTAGATTCTTTTAAATAGGGGTCAAATTGGAAACTCTTCTAATCATCAGGAATTTCTACAGCATCAAGAAGCTTCTACATAATAACAGTTAAAGCCCAACTATCTTTTTGAAAAGTGAATTATATGCTAGAGATTGGCAAGTTATATAATAAGATGTTTGAAGAAACTGTAAATATATTCACTAAAAATAGTAAGTATAAATGGTGCTACTATAGCATACAGTCTACACAAATACTATCATCATCACCATTTTAATGATTCACTAAAACACAATTTCTTCCTAAATAATCTATATCTATGCATGTTTTTCTTCAGGAAATAATAATAATTTAATAAGTTATGTATTCCAAAAGAGTACCTTAAATTTAGGTTATAATTGTGCTAGTTTTGATTGTTGGAATTTATTTCATTCCCATTATATTTGCCCAAAAAACGTTATGTTATGGTATTTTAAACTTTATTAGTACAAAAGCATTATTTATAATAAATGACACCAATTGCAAATAAATGAAAGTTAAAATGGTGATGATGATAGTATCTGTGTAGACTGCACATTATAGTACCACCATGTAAACTAAAATAAGCTTAACTGCTGTAATTCTAATGTTATGAGTGTAAGGCATAAAATCAATTAGTTCAAGGCTCTAGTTGAAATAAAAGACTATGGAATAATAGGAATTACTGAAAAGAGCTGCAAAATTAGTAGGATTTACTAATCGACTAATCCTAGAGCTCATTAATCAATTACATTCTACTAATTGATTAATATCACAACACCAATCTTCCTATTTCCAGCTCATTTTTTTAGACAATTTCAAACTAATCTTTGTTTAATATGGTAGACATCTTCAGGTACAACAATTTAGAATTCAGTTAATTTTTGAATCCTACACTGTTGTACATAAAAATGTATCATATGTATAATGTAATAAAAAACCTTAAACAAACTGAAAATATGATTAATACTATTCTGTGGATTTCTCCCTATAAATTTTCATGCAAGTGCTCTACTAAAACTAAATAATCCAATTCTTTGACTTTAGACTTCATGTGATAAACTAGTATGATTCTTTTCACAGCATGAAATATAATTCAGTGAAAAATTCACTATTATCCTAGAAAAAACAAAGACAGTATGATCTTTACTATTTGGCAAGAAATCTGGTGATTATACTAGATAACCTCCTTGCAATTATTACAAGGATTTATAAGGTGAAAAATGAAGTACAGATCACATTCATATGAAAAACATCTTTGATTACAGATGTTTAAATTTTTTTAAATTCCATCATCAGTGTAACAAACATAAAAATGATCAAAGTTATAATCATAAAACCATCATAAGCTTTTATGCTGGAAGATATTCATATAGATGGAAGTTTGGAATAAACAAATTAAAATGATTAATATATTTACATTTTACAGTACAGACTGGAAGAAATGGTAGAAACACACGTGCACCTTGAGAAATCTATGAGAAAGTATGCAAGGAGAAGTGGTGTGTTTTTGAC